ATATAAAATTATTCCATTGGCCAGCATACACGACATAGGGTACAGTTCAGTTGAAATCAATAATTAATGACAAGCTTTTACATTTGACAGCTAACTTACAGGAAATGACATTTTGAAATATGGTATTTCCGAAATTTCATCTGAATACCTGGATCGTCGTGATGACTGGATTTCTACGTGACTGAAGTTATCAATAAACCTACACACATTCACAACAAATTCAATCTCATATGAATACATAATTATAGTACTGAGCATGTGCGGTTATGCAGAACGTCTAGTTGAACGCGCCCCACAAGTTCCATAATTTTGTTTCCGCTCGTCAAATATGCACACTTCGTAAGGATCTTTCAAAGGTTGTGCTTAAACTTACAGGGATATATAAATATAATTCCGTGAAAATCTACAATTAGGTATATTTTCAAGTTGTTGTCTTGTAGCGGTTCGAAAATAGCCGCATGTGGCCTAGTACGATACAGGTTCATTTGTAGAAGCCAAAACGCTTGATGAGGTCGGACCTTCACGGTCATATTGCGCACTTTCACTAGAGTCTCATCACGGTTGGCCTGTATAAGAACCGGTGACAAATACGTTTCTTTTTATAAAGCACAGCTTTTCTACTCATGAAATCTCGGAAAACGTTTGCATGCTATTCTTGTCCGGTGGTATCAGTTTCGATTGCGCGATTAGGAGCTAATTCACTGCATAAGAACGATCAGTGCTCTCTCTTTGGCCATTCCGACAACGTTGCCAAGAGTGGAGTTACCAGCGGTCAAAAAATTGTAAAAATATCCGAAACCAATGAATTCGACGACAAGAGAATCTCCACTCGCACAGTTTAAGTTAACATGTCTCGGATTCTGTTCGGTGCAGTATGGTTTTTTTCACTTGTGTTAATCAAACGGGATGGACCTCACTCCCATAACTCATCTGATTTGGTGTCCGCCCAGTATGCGGAGTTTCATTGACTTTCGAAGCAAACGTATTCTCCCTCCTTTATTGTATTTAGCTGGCACTAAATTGGTCTTTGTGTCCGAAAAATAGTTTTGTATTCTACTGACAGATACACATTCATGCAATCATCACGGGCATGAACATGAAATAACAAAAAATGACAACGTTTATAGATAATCTCATACCCGATTGCACTGCCAGCGCGACTTTGGAAAATCATGAGTGATGCGGGGAAATCAAATAACTAACAAACTACGTCCAATCCGAATGACCCTTGACCATTTCAGCACAACCATCTCCTATATGATTTGTAAAGACTTGAGAATGAATCATTGAAAACAATTGTTTGTCTCTGAAAACGTGTTCTGATGTCACAATGTGCATATTCCGGAAATAACTAAGTGTTACTTAAATTCATCCATCGAAAATGCAACGGAAAACGGAGACGACGCCAGAATGGAATCATCAAGCGCACATGATGTCCATTATCGTGCCATATATAATCCCGATTTAGGCAATATACGGTGGTCGTACACAAATTAAAATAAATAATCGGATTTTCTACCGAAAGCAAATCAAGGTATTAGACTAGAGGAAGTAAATTCAGTGATATCACTACAATCAACTTCACTTCTCCTTGTTTTATACAGTTGCGAGTTGTTTTATCTCTAGTTGCTCCGATAATTTCCCACAATACTTCAAATACAGTCAGATTCAACACTTTGTGATTCCTCATCGTTTTCTGTTGAAACAAACACGTGTTCCGCAGTGGTTCTTCATCACCTTTTACGAAAATAACACGTATGTATTCGAGGTTTCTTTAATATCTGTAGCTATTGCCTTCGCTCATTTAATTCAGATTCTGAAATGAAACACCCAGACGTTCATAGACTGCCGTTGCGAATGTAATCCCAAAAGTTTTTTTTTACATGGTTGAAGTTGGCATTAGGAATTTCTAATTGTGATCTCGAAATCACAAACACTTGGCTTAGGATTGGGTTCACAGAATTGCTGGCCAAGATATTTACGGCACAGTCTGCAGAAGCACAGAATTCACCGAGAAATTCAGGGCAATTTTTGCGCGAACAATCAACACAATCGCATTGTTTTCTGCCTACTTGAGAGATTTTTGTTGTCTACAGATTTACCAATGTTCTGAAATGCCTTACAAGTGGTTGTATGTGCACAATTGGGAAGGTTAGGCAGAACGGCCGAATTATTTTCACATATGATTTAAGTTTTGGTAGTTCAGTACTGAACTTGGAAACGGTTGTTCATGATAACCTTACATGGCCTTGCTGAATGCTGAATAGAAATGAGGAATGCATGTCTACTCATTTTTCGACAATATTGTCTCGTCATAATGTGTAGACTTTGTCTGATTGTATACATAATGCTTACAAAGTAATTCTGTTAGACAAAACGGTGGAAACAGTTTTTTCAACCCGGACACAAGACGTCCTCCAGTATTACAAAAGTTGAACAGATGTCATAGAGATATGTGATGAACTTTTCCGGTTCACTGGTTGTTCGTCCTGTACTCAAATAATTTATTTAGTAATGCTCAAATTCGCAAACCTTATAATCAGGTAGAACTCAGTCATTCACCTTTAGTTGAGGTATATGATTATGGTGCTTCAATGGAGCAGTGACTCTCTCTCTCTCGTAGTAGCATTGTCCTTAGTTACGTTATATGCAATACTAAGTGATTTTCATCTCGATCAACTGAACAAATTTGAGTAACAGTTTTCATATTCAAGATGAAAGTCAAGATTTCAGCAAGTATATTGTATGGGTTATACTATATAATTCTCATAAAGACCTGGTCACTTCTGGTTGCATTCTTGTTTATATTTCTGGAATACTGGCCTATGTTACATTCGATGGATTCATTTCAATTTGTAATGGCAAGGTTCTTCATCACAATAATAATTACGGTCTTTATTGTTTGTGAACCGGTTAATCTTTCCCAATATTCTGACGTTTGTTCAGTTCAACCCAATCCAGTCCCGTTCCACTAATTTCCGCTCAGTACATTTCACATCAGTTATGTGATGGCCAGTTCTCTTCATTGTTTTTCCGTTTAAACCGGTTACGTGCCTATCAAGGTAGCTTATCTGAGAGACGTTCTGATCATCAATGAGGGGATCTGTTTAGATCCGTTCTTCGGGATTCCTATAAGATAAGTTTGTATTGATTCTAACATTATTAGTGGTCATTTTTAATCCTTTCCCCTTCCCCCCACCGTCGCATTCCATCTCATCTTGGATTTATATAACCTTATTACCTCATGGGTATGGATTTTCTTTCGCACCCAAATCGGTTTTTCTACTATTTCTCCTTCCGATGCCATCTTTTATATTTATTGCTCCATGTTATGTTTTGTTTTTTTTCTTTTCGGGCATTATCCTTGTTTCCGCACATATCGTTGAGTGTTTCTCAAGCTAGACTTTTATATAAACTGTTGCAGTGTGACAAGCTCTTTTCTTCCATCATTGTGGCAGCTTATTTGAACAAATTCAACTGCCGAATATGTTTAGTTGGCATTTGTCATCTATATTCAACTTCCACCCCCCTCCCCCCCCGTCGAAATACAAACCCATCTAAACCATACTGATTACATCATTCCGATCAAATCTGGTTTCATCATTATATTTCTCACGAGATGAACACTTTCAGCTCAATCGAGATATTGTTTTCTTGATACAATCAAGCTTTACTTAGATTTTGAGGGCATCGGGTTTTAATTGCCGCTCTATTATATTCGTTCCTGTTTTATTACTCTCGAGCATCTACTAGTTTCTTGTTTTCTCATATTAAGTTTCGTTACTTTTTGTAACAGTATTATACATCTCAGGTTTCCATGTGGTGACCAGGACGTGAAAATAAATGAAAGGTACCATTTTTAAGCCCACTTGACTAAGCTCTAACTGCAGATGGAACGTTGGACAGGGTTGTCTGGTTGGTACTGCTGCTGGATCGCATAACATCTATTGTGTTGTGGGAAACATGGGGATGTTCCGTTATTCATATCGCTTTTCATGGTGTGTTACAAAAAAGGGCTTTTTATTGAAATTCAACTTTTGTTGGTCCTAAACCCTATTGCCAGGTGAGGATAATATTCATGCTAATCAAATCATGTCACAGCATTAATTTAGATCAGATAAGTTCGAAGTAAAGCACGTCAGTTCCTTGATAGGTAAATCAGAGCACTTCGGATCAGTTCGAATCGGAGCTTGTATTTTGTAGTTTATATTGTATTTTCGCTCATTCAAAATCCCAAAGGATTCAACAAGAAGACTCCGTAGTTACCGAAATAAACGTGTGAGTATGGTGAAACTCAGCCGCAGGGTTCAACATTTCTCAATACTATTCCTAGTGCTGGAAGTTTATCTGATAAAACTACACATTGAATGTCGCCTAAATTCGACTTCACAAAACACAGTTTTCACGTTATCCTGACGTATACTATTTTTAAATTCTCAGTGCTATCAACATTGTTTTTCCCCGCATTCAGTGCCTTCAAAGAAAGAAAGAAAGACAGGTCACACTTCAAGACGAGTTTAGAATAGAAGAAATCACATGATCCACGTTCTTATTCTTCGCTCATGTAAACGCATCGGAAAACCATGAAATGATACTCATCATAGAAGTCAACTGTTCGAATGAGTTCTGGTTTGGAGTTCTAATGGAAAGTTCCTAACAATAGCACACAAAATAAATAATAACGAAGAAGGTTTTAGTGAGTTACGCGAAAATGCTGACAAAAATAGCCCACGATCATCAGGGAACTGCAAGTTTCGACAATGACATGTGATGCAATAGGCGTACTCAAACGAATAACCTTTCTGGCATATAGTGAAAAAAACGAGAGGTGTTCAAATTTAGAAGCTTGGTACTTGTGTATTTGAGATCAGTTTACTTTGAGAGTCAATTAACATTGGGGTGTTTGTGATCGATGGAACTCAAAAATATATGAAAGAAAACAGTGAATAGTACCAGCAACAGTCCTTGATTACCCGACCAGTTACGGTTCAACAAGGAGTATGCGAACTCTCGCTGGTTTACTTCTGCTGGTCTTTTGTTTACGTGGAATGAGTAAGTATCACTATCGTTTTGACCATGCGATGAATTACCAATTCTTTTGCAAATTGGTTCTTGGTAAAGGAGTAAATTGGTCTCAACACGGTTGGATAATTTTGCAATAAAAGAGATGATTCAGACTGTGGGTAATATTTTGAAAATAACCAGAGAGGGTGAACGTGGAAGTGAATCAATGACGGTTAGTGATTCATACATGCCTAGTATAAACTTAGGTAGTGATGATAGCATTGGGAGCTCCTTGAATATATGCGGCGGGCAACTATAAAGCACAGTACATTTAGGGAGCAAAATGTACGTCAGCTGGAACACGTAGTTAAATCAGAATAGCTGTTGCCAATAGAAACAGTGGTAAGCAATTACCATCAAGGACGAGTTGTATCCTAGTAGCATGCATACTTTGCTACACAAACGGATTTGCCTGCTTGATAGGACCAACTATGGCAGAACATGCATAGAAAACATCACTCGCAAATGAAAATATGCAACCTAATATGGGTACTCGGTTATCCCTGCATTGTTATCAACTCAACAGATATGCAGGTCAGTTCAACCGATGGAATCGACACAAGTATGACCGAAGATCCAAATGGATCCCTTACAACTGAGTCCACAGGTGAGCGCACATTTACCGCGTATCCTTTTATTCATCACTCTGACAATCTAGGCGCATGCTCAACTGCAAATATCCTTCAACATATTCTGAACAAAATCTAAGCAACTCCTAAACTTAGGAGATCCTGGCACGCAAAATATTGCAGCGTGCATATCTGCACATATAAACACATTATCAATAATAACTATAGTTTTCAGCCCATTTTCATTCGATCCAATCTTATATGATGTGATACTGGAGGTAACCTCATTTCTCAGAACGACAAAGTCCAAATTGGAACCCGAGTACATTTATCTACGGAAAGGGACCTAGGGAGAATATATGTACTCATCTATTTCAATTCTTCCATTATATTTCGTTCAATTTGCCAGGGGAAATCGCTCCATTTATTGATTTTCTTAGTTCAATGACAGATGAAGAAATAATGGGTCACATGATTCAGCTTATGGTATATAACGCAACTACATCCTTCTGAGCACGGATTGGTAGGATGAGGCTGCACATACTTTGGAGCCCATTGCCGGTATTTTAAATACATTTAGATAAATTCTTTTGTGTGTCAGTGCGGACACATAACCACCGACCACTCATTGTGGAATCGCGAAAGAAACCACGGATCATATTCGATCAAAACTGAACTGATATGATCAAATCTGAATGGATATGGATGATATCACCCAATGTGATCAAACGTTATCAGATTTGAGGGAAATAGTAATTTCAGTGTAGTTGGTAGACAAAGACGCATGCAAGATTCCACACATTGATTTAGTTGATTTGGTATATTGATGGTCAGTTTTGAAATTAATAAAACACAAGATCAAACTAGATATGTTTGCGATTTAAATACACCCATAACTATCTTCTCTCCATTTCCCCCATCTAAACATCTAATCAGAACACTCCAGACACCACTGTCAGCTCAACGACGCAAGTACCTGTACAAAGTAAGTGCACCTTTTCTAACTATCTATATTTTTGTTTATATGACCCCCACCGTCCCATTATGAATAGGGAAATTTTATCACGTAACAGTATACGGAAGAAAACAAATACATTGGTGGTATGGCATATAACAGATTCAAACGTTTATCGTCATTCTTCATTGAAAATCTATTTCGTTCGAGTCGATTCAATTCAATTTGTCTGTCAATTTTGCTGCACTTCTCGATTTCCATCGCACAACACAGTAATCGTGGGTCTACTGTGATCGATATTCAGCCCAGTATCTATAACATAATTATACACTTGTCGTTGTGGACTGACAAGATCAAACTGTGCTAGATTTGCCTTTTAAAGGCTGTGATTCAAACTAGTTGCACATTCTCTGTGATGTCAGTGACAATTCAGCGACCATGATTTATCCGCTAACAGAGACCAAAGCACATCTATTTTCATCCAAACTGATCTGATGAGACCTGGTCCGATCTTATCCGATCTAAATGGTTTCGTATGACGAGGTCTGATTTAATCAGATTTGATAAGAAAAGTAGATTCGTGATAACCAGTCCCCATTGACGCATGCACACACACATCACTACTGGATTTTTTCATCCATTCATGTGACCGAATTGGTGGTGCATGTTTCGATAGGACGATCACAAGACTAGGTATGACACTTTTGTCGATTGAATACATATTTAGCCATCCTCTTCCTATTTTGTCCACTCAAATAGGTACACAGAATACTGCAAGCAAAACAACCGCTTCATCCACACGAGCGATTTCATCTCAACCTATGACCACAATGGCCGCACAAACTGAGCACACATTTTCTGCCCATGACTCCGTTTATGTATAAGATCATTTACAGATATATATCCGACTGAAAATATACATAGTATATATTCGTAAGCATAAAAAGTGTTTGGGAACACAAAGGGTGCAGCGATTGAATGTAATATGCAGGGAACGTACATGTAGTTGATTTTATTTCATCCAACTTTCATTTCATTTGATGGCATTTGAGTCGTTCCACAATGTTGATTTATTCGGATTTTTTCTAACATCACCAACTGAGTAAGAAAAGTGTGACTCATGATAAGTAGTTATCATTCATATATATATGTATATACATATATATATATATATTTTACACACTCAACATTGATCCACTTGCGTTGTTGTGTCAAGTGGGATTGCAACATTTCAATCTAACAAGCACGCGATCTGATGGAACATGCCTATCAACGGTGTACTCACTCAGAAATCATTTCTCGATATTTACACGCCATCATTCCAACTAAATATGCAACTTTCTCCACACCGGGAGCCCGAGTGTTTACGTGAAGTGTGCTCCAATTTGATGAACATTAGTATTTTCATTAGCCTAGCTATCTCATGAAGTGTCTGGTTGTGTTTACCTTGTAATCAGACTAAATTATCCGGTCTTGCTTTTGTTGGTGTCGTTCACATCAAGAGGGCCGAAGTCAAGCAATCGATATATATATATATATATATATATATATATATATATGAATTGAATTCGGTCACTGAAATGAGCACGTGTGATTATGCACTCGAACAATGGTACCTCGCATTAGTTGTATTTTTTCCGTTAATTCTGGAAAAAAACAAAAATAATAACATTTCGTAATTGGGTTTTCTCTGGCTTATGTTACTCATTTGACATTATCGTAGATCTCATATAGTGTTCCCTTTGATTCGTTTATTTCACTGTTTGCTGAGCTATTCAGATTTTCTCGAGTATTTCTACCGTCAACTGCTATATTTTTTCGCTCACAGGTACATCTGTCACTGGTGAGTTATCCATTTCTTGTCCGTTTGTCTCTGCGTATGTTATTCCTCACATCCTATGGCATTCCAGTTACTTTCCTTGCATGTCAAACGTGATCCTTCCTACAGGCAGTTCATTCTGGCCTTTGCTCTTCGCTTTCAGGTGGGTCAATACGGCCACTGATTGAGACAACTAGTTGGATTTTACTCCAAGTCATTGGAGCTGCATTGTTCTGATTGCCGATTTTGATTAACCAATCAGATCCACCCACGGGATGCTGCCTACATTCCGCGTCCAGTGGTGACACAGATGATGATCTCAATTACATGAAATATTATTTGATGAATGTTCATTTTCAGGAATTCGAAGTTTTATACCTCAAACTGTTCATTCACGTCTAGTCAGATTCCTTTTGGACAATTTCGCAACATCTCATTTACGCGATATGTGAGTGACACACGTGGTGGATGGTGATGTGAATGGCGGGCCATGCACGAGAGTAGACCAGTAACATATTCCAAGAGATTCTTTTAACAAGTGTTGATTTCAATCCCATCTGAAGAAAACGTCACCTTGAGCAGCCGCGAATGATACAACAGAGTGATATGTTTTGGAAAAGAAGAAATCAGCTGGTATACCTATGTGCATAGTAAATTGGTGGAGCATTTGTTCACGTATAGACGTTAGTAAAGTGTCCCACGGTGATGTTGAGTATCATATGAATAACAAGTAGAATTGAAATTAGAACGAAATGTAAGCAGTTACCGTAGTTCATAGTTCATAGCATGCGAGGAGCTTATATTACAGGCGACGACATGCGACTAAATTCAATAAGGTACGTAGTCTATCGATTTTTCTCACTCTGATTCCGAGGAGCTTAACCAAATGATTACTTTAGAGTGGGTTAGACTCAATTTTCGCTGAAAACATGAAATTCTCCAAATTATTTGAGCTCGACTTTATAGTAGAAGAGGAATGTTAAATTACGAAATTGTTTCGACAATTGATAAATAGGTTTTCCACGGTTGTTAGAAGGACATAACCGTATCCCTCGTTTTCCTGAACTTCACCCGTCGCAAATTATGTGTTAGATCAATCCCGATCGCATCGGAAGCACCAAACTCGAATTTGTCTCTTGTTGGAGCTAATCCGTGGTGCATATACGCTCTCGCCCACAGGAATTGAACCTTCGTCTTTTTCCAAATTGAAGCCGTGTGTGTTACCACTGCGCCACCGCTTGAGTCTGGTGCTCATGACTGCAAGATTGATTCGGTAACCTGAGGTTTGTGCGTATTAGTTTTAGCCCAAATGACAGTCAATCAAGCAGAGTGGTCATTTCATTCTGATTTTAATTATTCGGAAGGTTTGCAAGTTTCGAAGAAATTATGTGCACATAAGCATGGTGCTCCGTATCCTTCCATTGTCATGAATAAATTCACAAGTCGATCAGACTTTACTTGATTAAAATAAATGTTCTCAATAGCATTTCAAAATAAAGCTAGTAAACGGCGTTGTGACTTATAGTACACGAAACATTACCACAGATTGTATCCGCTGGATGGATTTGAATGATCCATGAAATCCATCAATCAGATGAATACACCCCTGTCGATGAGTAACAAAATTCAACCAGTATTTTGAATGAAATGAAGCTCTATTAATTTTTAGCCTCGGGAAAACGATAGACAAATCGTAATTGAATAAACCAATGTTGGTCATATCCGTAGAGTTCTCTAGATGTAAGAGAAATTCGGTTAAACTGAAGTGTGTTCTCCTCAGTTGAGTACAGTCGAATTCATTACGTCAGCATTTCGGTTTTGTTCAGTTTGTTTTACATAACTTCAGTCCAAATCAATCTATTAGCAGAACAGAACGATGCTTCTTTGCTCAAAGTGTGACTGAACACATTCTGAAGTGACTTTTGATTCAATGATTCAATTGGACTGCACAAAACAAATTCCGACAGGGATTCCAACATGGGCTATCGTGAGGCATCTATTTCCTCTAGGTCATCAAAATGACCTGACCCGGTCTTGCGAAGCACGATTACGCCCCCGAAATGCAACACTGCTGGCGTTCACAGCAGCTGTGTTGAGTAAAACAGAAAATTCCCCCCTTTGAACACGGGAACAATCATTGCTAGCAGTGTGACTTCCCTGGCATTAGCCACGAATACCACACGATTTGCTGCATTCATTGTGATGAACATTTTTCTCATTATCCACTGTGTATCTCATGTACCATATCATTGTAAATCAGTTCAGTGAAGATCAGTTCATAGCAGATCGTTGACACCCAGACTAGTGTCGTTTAAACCGGTTGTCTGTAGCCCAGTGTAGTTTAATAGAGGAACATTCATTCAAGTTGAGAACAAATTTGTTTAAACTAGTTCCGTTCAGTTCAATTCGGAGCAGGTCGGAATTGATCAAATGTGATCAGTGGTACGAAAACAAACAAATCGATCTGGGATCTGTGCGTGTGCGCGTATGTGCTTCAATGCAAATCGGCTATCATGAACTAACTTGAACAAACATGTATAGTAGTATCAGACCAATATATATATATATATATATATATATATATATATATATATATATATTTCATTGTGCCCATCTGATTACGGACTTGTATTATGATACATCAAATGGGCTGTACTTTTTCCTTTCAAACTGATAAGTACAAATTATTAACATTCCGTCATTTGAATTGTCTCTGTCCGCAGCTGTTCATTTTACGTTCACCACATCGTTCCATTTGGTTCGTTTATTTGTTCTTCGCTCACTGAGTTGTTTGATTCCCATCGATCAGTTCAAATTATCCACCATTGGTGAGCGCTCGGTTTCTTGTCCCATTTTTGTCCGTTGGGATTTTAGTCCCCTCGTTTGCATGCTGAGTGGAATCGTTGCTACGGTAACTCTTTTCGGAGTTTAATCTCCGTGTTCAGTTGGATCAATATGAGTCACGATTTGGACAACTAGTTGGATTTTCTCCCTCGTCATCCCAGCTGCATTCGTCTGATTGCTAGCTCTCGTGAATTAATCAAAGCAGATCAGCGGATGTAACTACCAATTCTCATCCAGTATTAAAAGTGATGCTAATTTCAATTCCGTGAAATACCATTTAAAAATATACCTTTTCAGGAATTCAAATGTTTGTCCATAAACTATTCAATTACTCCTGAACACATTCGGATAGGGCGCATGCGCATCATAAAAGAGGAACTACTTTTGTGCCATTGAAATGATAAGTCATTGCAAGGGAGTCTGTTGTATATCTAATCATACCGCTGGAAATCCGCGAGAGGTGGTTCGACAATAATTCACCTCGAATGGGAATATTTAACAGAAAACCGAGCAAATGAAACTGGACTGATCAAAGCGCTGATTACGTAATAATCCCCAACGGCTTGAAAATGAGATCAATTTTAGTTGATTATCCAGAACGGCCATTGCAGCTTCCTTCACATCAGAGAAGTGCCCATTCTCAGGATATATTTCTGAACTCACGAAGCCAGGAAAAGCTTAACTGTTCATTCTTTCCAAAGTACATCTGAACAAAATGGGAATATACACCGTCTAAACTTCGGGGGGTTGTTCCAAATTTTCCCCGGCCGGAAGAGAAGAATGAACGACAACTAATGCGATTGTGACATTTAAACCTACGAAGCATCTCCGTTATTCCGTTGCTAGGAGATACGCATGCTATCAAATACACAGGAATTCTTCACAATGACTGCCAGTGAGAGCCGGAACCAACTGCATGGATTTTTTCTCAGGGGGACCTTTATATTTGACTCCGAAATTGTATAACTTCAGTACACTACCGGTCATGAGAGCGCAAGGTAAGGCACGAGATGAACTCTCTGCTTCAGCGAATGCGGATGTCATTTTATTACCAATCAGGACATCCCGACACAGCATAATGCGCACATGCTGATGGACTCACAAGATAAATCCCCGCCCAAGGGTTTGCTTTTATTAGTCAAAACACAGTAGTCGTTTAATTTTGAACTGACACCGAATGGATGGCACAGCTGTGTTTCTTTATTTGTTTCCATTCAAGTTTGTAATATAAATTTCATAAGTCCGTTAGATTTGATTCTTTGCAACTGATATTTATCGACACAGCGACGTCTCATGTAGAATGTTCGACAATATTTGTGGAAATCAGTTTTCATCAAGATGCATCTGGCAAGTTCTTCGATCAATATAATTTCTTTCCAGTCCGTTATTTTCTGCATATTCGTTGACATTTTTGGTTCATTCTTTGCATACTGAATCTATTCACTCTCACGGCAACTCATTTTGGAAACCGTATCCTATTTTTGTCTTTTTTCATGTGATTGAATTGGGCCCTTTTTTCAAACTACTGGTTCGATTTTGCTTCTGGGCGCCTAAGCTGCATACTCTTCATTAGTTGTCCACATGAATGATACAGGTTCATCCAACTGATGCAGTCGCGTTCAACATTAATTGTGCGTTCCGTAGTTGTGTTGCCAGCAAAGCGGCGATAGCAACTTCCTCTGATCCAGCTTCCTCACCGAGTTTAGCCACAACCCATGCCGAACAGACGGTGCATCACGCACGCTGATGTGACCGGTTAATTCACACATGATACTGCCTTCATGATGTGTTGTTCTCAACGTGTTCACGTGCACACGCATAACCATCGATTTCTGCTCCGTGAACAATGACGAACGCAGCCTGTCGTACACAGACGTCCACTGGTTCACTCCATCGACACTTTTACCAGGAGGTTGAATTACACACACACACACACACACACACACACACACACACAAACACAAACAAACACACACACACACACACGTTCGTGTCTACCCGTTGTTCCCTCGGCTTGCAGTCATGCGGTGACACATACACTGAGAGCAAAACAGCTCGTGAAAAAAACTTGTAACACGAAGAAATTTCTTTTCGATATATCACTTCAGGCATTGACATATATAGTACCTGGTAAAAGAGGGTATATGTGCAGCTAAATATAGCAGAGTGTGAGTAAATGTGCAACAAATCCGGTAACTCGACAACATGCTTCAACTTAATGAATCTTGTTCGTTGTGTGAACGACAATAAGTGTGAAATATGTAACCAAATGGCGTGAAAAGGCAGGCGTGACATACAAAGGTGTGAAAAAAGGAGGTGTGGGGCTGGGGAGAATTGGTACAAG